AGAGTTGGAGTCCTACTAGGATTGTGCCAGGCAAAATCTACAAAAGCGCATACAGGACCTATGTACAGGTATCACAATTCTTACTCTGGAATACACAGAGCTTTTGTGTCTATTGTCTATTTGCTACTTAGGCATCGGAGAGGTTTCCGGCACACACCGCCGGCTAGCTCACGTTTGTGTTTTCAAGTGGCAAAGCGACGATGTTTGGAGGAGTGCAAACTTGATCAACATGATTATACAAGAAGATTATTTCTGTGCTCGTACAAGTAGTATGGTTAAAACTCATCTTATCATAGTACTTTCTTATCCTTGAATAATTGATATGGTAACTGTAATTCATTACACAATGAATCTTTTCTTCTTTTTCTTTTTCTTCTTCTTCTTTTTTTTTTTTTTTAATAAATAATTTGTGGGTAAATTACATTGACCTCATCTTCTGAGATTTTGACAAAATACAGTAAATCTTACTACCTTTATTTTGGAATTTTTAAAAATTGGTACAATATATTTATTCTAGTACCCCTATATTTTCTTATAAATTACGTTTATATGTACCCATGCCATACTCGAGACCTTTTGTAACATTTGAGATCGTTGCAAAAGGTCCAATTTTTAGTAGTGTGACTTCTACACTGCATACCTCTTCTCTGTTGTGCTAAATAAGATTATTTCATTATGGTTAGCTGGTACAAAATTGTTGATTGTTTGACATTTCAGTAAAACTTATTTTATATGGACAAGTTCCTAAATAAAGATTTCTTACTAACTTAGATTTTGTTTCTTCTCTTTCCTCTTATTGAATTAGATTTTGACTATTTTCTTTTCAGGCTTGGACATTTGGAAGTCCAAGTGGAGATAAGCCTTTCTGATGAGCATGGTTGCTTATAAATTCTTCAGATTCATACAAATAAGATGAAAGAAAATCTTTTCTTGCTCCAGATGTGAACTTGCAAGAGCTTGGTATGTGAGTTCTACATTTTGTTAGTTATTGTTGTTGCCATGATAGATTATCCAATGATTAGTTCTGCATTTTGTTAGTTATTGTTGTTGCCATGATAGCTTGAAATCGTGAAGGTTCAGATAATTTTAAATTTTTTTATGATGGAAATTTTCCTATTCGAAGTCTGAATTGACTAAACTTGGAAAAACTTGTCTTTTTTCATTGTTGTTTGTTTGGTAAAAAGGGGAAGGAAAGGAAAATTTTCAAGATTCACATGGAAAATTAGTATTCCATGAACTTTGCTTAGTTGAAGTTGTGGGTGAAATAGAAAATTGCTTTTAAAGTTCTGCTATCAATCTTCTGGTTTTGACTACGGAGAATATTGTCAACATTAAAAGGCTTTGTAGATTTTTAGTTATGTTTCATATATGGAGGAATTTCTTCACTTGATTTTGGAAGCTTGAAATTGTGAAGGTTCAGATAATTTTAAATTTTTTTATGATGGAAATTTTCCTATTCGAAGTCTGAATCGACTGAACTTGGAACAGGATTATGTGCCGACTGTTTTTGACAATTTTAGTGCAAACGTGGTTGTGGATGGGAGCACTGTTAATTTAGGACTTTGGGATACAGCAGGTAAGTTCATATTAGCCAGTGATATCTTCTTCTTCAACGAACTCTTCACATGTTTTGGATTTGACTTGTTTGTTTCATGGAACAGGTCAGGAGGATTACAATCGATTAAGACCCTTGAGCAATCGAGGGATCGAAGTCTTTATACTTGCATTTTCTCTGATTAGCAAGGCTAGCTATGAAAATATATCAAAAAAGGTAAGAATAATGTTTTCATGTAAAGATAGATGTCGTTCTTTTCTGATCATAAGATAATTTTCTGTCTGATTAGATGGTATGCTGATACATGCTTCTTCTTCTTTTTCGGGGAGGGGGGGGGTTCTGTTTTCGATGGTCAGTGGATTCCTGAATTGAGGCATTATGCTCCTAGAATTCCAATAGTTCTTGTTGGAACAAAGCTTGGTTAAAGTCTTTTTCCTATCCTTTTCATTTGTTCTAGTTAGTTCTACTATTGGCTATTTTCAGACATTTGCATCTAGAATTCTGTCATAAATGTGAGATTTCTTCTTTGAAAGTTTTCACTAGAATTTCTTTATGCCCATGGTTGCAAACTTACTTATATTTAACACTTTTTAACTCCATTTCCAAGTTCTCTTGAAGCATATCTCGATAATTGGGCCATTTTGACATACAAAAGGGAAATTTTTGCAGAAACATCTTCAGTTTTGGATCATTTATCCCCAAATATCCATGATTTATCTCTCTCTTCTTCTTCTGTTTTTGGGGGATTAATAGGGAAGCAGTAGCAAGTTTCAGTTATAAGCTTTTCATAAAGCTTTTCTTTTATAGTTGAAGAGTGCTAAGCTGCCATGTGAGCCTGGATAAAATTACTAGGTTCCTTCAAAATTAACAGCTTCCTGCATAGTTACACTAGGCAGATATTTTGGAACTTCGCAAGAAAGAGTTAATATTCATTGCTATTATGGCACTTCTCTAGCTAATGAAATACACACTTGTAATTTCTTTGAGCTTTGTGGAACTGCTCGTGGAATTTCATGACCAGGGTCAACAAATTTAGTATTGTTTTTGGTGTTTCATGTGGGCAGTGCTGAATCCTGGATATGTACTGGTGCCATCATAATTATGTAGCATTTAATTTTAATTGAAGCTTTCATTTTGGCTACTAAGATCCACTTAGCTTCCTTGTATATTATTTTTAATGATCTCCGTAAACAGGATAGATATCAGTACTTAGAGGTGGAAACCTGAACCTCTGGACTTGATTTTGCTGTTAATAAGAGAAAAACAATACAAGATAGTTTTAGATGCAAGTTTAGCCTGGTTTGGACCAAGTCAATTGCCATTGAACCATTTGAATAGTTTCAATTTGGCAATGTTGGATTTATAGTTCTATCATGACAGATTGGTCTTAGTTGTTGACAACCAAATTGGATCACCATGACAGAGTAAGTTAGTTGTTGGTAACCCAATTAGATCCCTATAGGCAATTGAAAAATTGTTCTCAGATTCTTGGATCCATTAGGTGGCTTGTGAGACCAAAAAAAGTGGATGGCATTTTTTTTGTAGACAATTGGAATATTGTCCACTTTTGTTTTGTTAGGTAGAGATACTAAACCAAATGAAATTGAGTCTTGAAATTCTCATTTCGAGATGTAGAGACTTCTTGATGTTTCTTTATCTGACCCATGGTAACAATGTCAATTATTGCTTCTCCAATACCAATATTCTCCAATACCAATATTCTTTGTTCTTGGCATCTTTAGAAGTAATGCTTGTCTGCATTGCCTTGGAAGGAAATGTTTCAACTTGAACGGAGGTCTTTGCTATTATTATCATGCTCTTTATCATCTTTATTTTCTGTTCTTGGCATCTTTAGTTTTGCATTTTTTTTATATGAATGTTGTGCGTGAAGTGAACAGTCCTTCAGAGTGAATGACCTCTTATTTTGCCTCATGTAGATCTTTGGGAAGATAAGCAATTCTTTGTAAACCACCCTGGTGTTGTGCCCATTACAACAGCTCAGGTATATGTGGTGTTCCTATGTTTGTAAAATTATTTTTTGGCCATTGCGCACTTGTTTGCATCTGTCATTTCTAAAGTGTGTTAGTCCCTCCAAGAGAAACCTGACTTCCTATCTTTTAAGGGGAGAGGAGCTGAAAAAGCTGATTGGAGCTGCTGCTTACAATGAATGCAGTTCAAAAACCCAATATGTGGATATATTTTATTATAATCCTGTGTATCTTCATGTAAACTTCTGTAATTACCTCACCATTTAATGGTTATTATAAAAATTTTCCTTTTATGCAACAGTCTATTTTCATTGGTTATGCAATAGTCTATTTTCACTTGCAGATTGTCAATTTGTTGTTGTTGCTTGTCTCTCTTTAGCTGCTAAAGTTGAGGAGACCCAAGTGCTCCTTCTCTTAGACTTCCAACTATGTGATATTGTATTGCTAAATACGCAATGTGGGTGTTTGTGAAAATGTCTTATTGAATGGTTTTTGGGCATTTTATTGTCATTGATTTATTTCTTTGTGTTGTGATTAGGTCAAGGAATCAAAATTTGTGATTGAAGCCAAGACAATCTAGAGAATGGAGCTTCTTGGCCCTGGGTGTTGGAAAGTATGCGTTAATCATGTCAAAGTCAATGTGCCTTTTATTTAGAAACTTATATATGACATAGTTTTTGGATAGTTTAGAACTTTTTGGACAACTAGAATTTAAGGATAGTTCTTTTTAGATGGTTTTGAATTAAGATTAGTTTTTGGATGTTTGGAATGTATATATTGACAATTTTTGAATGTTCATAATTTATGGATATAGTTTATTTTTTATGCTTAAAAAAATATTTTGGTGGTTGATTGATATTTTGTGAAGCTTGTTTGTAATGTTTATTAGATTGTACAAAACAAGTCAAAATAGAACCTGCTGAGTTTTTTTAAAAAAAATAATGCACATTCTACGGCAAACAAATTAGGCCATTATATGACATATTCCACAACATTTTACAAACGCCGTGGTATGTTCACAACTAACGGTGTGCAAAAGTAGTCGTACAAAAAGTAAAAACAACGCGCAAGATCTGCGGTTAAATAGTTTTTAACGGAGTACTATGACATACCGTTGAAAGTAAATGACTTTTCATGACTGGCCATAATATGTCGTTACGTTGCACGTCGTAGAAGGGTTTTTACGGCGTGCAATGTGCGCTGTAAAAATCATTTTTTGTTGTAGTGCATGGATCTATTATGAACTCGCTGCATATGATTACATATTTGATCGGGTTAATGGGTTATCTAAAGGTTGAATTGTGTTATGAGTTGTCTAAACTCAAGGCTAACTCCAATAACTAGAATTTGGGTAATGTGCAGATTGCCCCCAATTTTCTTATTTTTAAAGTTGGATTGTTTAATTTTTTTTATTACAAATGGAACCAATATTTTTTGTTTGACAAAATCACAAACATCATCAAAACAAATAACTAATAATAATAACATAATAATGTGTGAGAGATGATACTTAAGTTAATTTACCTGTCAAAATAAACTTTAGCATTATCCAAACTCATTATATACGGCACCATTTGGAAAGGTGGGTTGGAAGCTTTTTTGGCTATTTTAGTCACAAAAAACAAAATAGGCTATTTTAGACACAACAAACAAAACATCACGTCCAACCCATAATCATTACACTCTTCTCTCACAAAAAAAGTCAAAAAAATCAAAAAGTCAAAAAGCCCTTCCCAAACTAAACTTTTTAGCCCAGGCTAAAATAGCCAAAAAAAGTCAAAAAGTCAAAAAATCAAAAAGTCAACCCACTTCCCAAACGACACCATATTTTAAGAATTTATTGGTGAGAATGCCATATTTATGGGAGAAATGACATTAGGTTCAAGAATTACTATTTTTTGATAATAAAGACATGTTGAAAAAGTTATTGAAAAGCTAGTTGGAAAAGTCGCTAGTTGTGATTGGCAGTAGCAGTGGGTAGAGGTGGCTAGTGCTATTATCAGGGCCGATTTTGAGGTTAAGCTGGCAAAATCGTCACTTTAGATCCCAGATTTGAGTTAAAAATTAGGATCTCAATTTAAGAAAAATTCTTATAATATTTTTAGATCTCAATTAAATGAAGGCCTCCAAATTTTTAACATCAAAACTCACCTAACTCCAATCCTCAACACCAAACTGAAAAAACAAAATTATTTTTATAAGTGGAGGATTCCAATTACTTTAATTTCAACTTTTCAAAACCTAACTAAATTTAGCACTTCATATTAAACCCCAAAACAACACAATTTTATTAATAAAGGATCCAAATTACTTTACCAAATTTCTCTCCAACACAATTCATCATTAGGAGAGTGAAAATTTTTAAATCTTAATATTCTCTTGATTTTGTATCATTTTAAGTTTTACTTCAATTGTTTGTTGGCTTTACTTAAAAATTGAAATTTCTATAATTGAATGATTATTGTTTGTTGAATAATGGAATGCATTGTTTGTTTAATCATACTTCTAAGAAAGTATAAAAGAAGTAATTGAATTACAATTAAGAGCTCTTGGTTCAATTTTGTAACTAAAAATACAAGAACAGTAATGCTTAAGAGATATAGTGATATGATTCATTTAGTTTTTTTTTTTTAAATATTAGTTATGGATTTTTGTATAGTATTTTTTTCTTGTGTAAATGGATAGATATAAGAAATAATACTAAATTTTATCCTTTAAATTTTTGTAATAATTTTTTTAATTGATTTTTTTTTTTTTTTTTTTTTTTTTGCATTTGAATTTTTTTTTTTTTTTAGTGACATGAAAAAATGTAGGTGCCCATGTTGAGTGTTCGCTTTAGGCACTTGAATGTTTAGAGCCGGCCCTGGTTACTATGGTGGACAGATATGTGATATTGGACAGACAAGTGAACAAACATGTGACATGTATACAAATAAGTAGATGTGGTAAATGGACTGGTATGGATGGGTCAAAAAGGATTATACATTTAAACAACGGTGATGCTACATGCTCCAATCAGTGTACTAATTAGTGTACCAACACTAGTTATGATATTATTATTGACCCCACTCATTATACAAATTACAAATGAAAAATCTAGAAATCCCCTAGATGTTGATTTGTGATTATGTATCAATTTTAAGCAGAATATAACAATCCCAATCAAACAATCAAACAATCAAGACAAAAAGACACAACGATTTAACGTGGAAAAAAACCACAATTGGACACGCTCCAGCTTGTGATTGCAAAAACCACGAGGCAAACAGGAGCAGAAATAACAAGGAAATGGGAGTTGTTCTCTGTATGAGGCTGTTAAAAGAAACAAGAAAAATTTTACAACAACAAAGTAAACAATCCACTTAAGATAGATTTTAAAGGCATTACTCAGGTATTCATATACTCCAGATTGAACTAGCCCGAAAATCCAGCTCAATACGCCACTAAATTGAACCGAACCTCTATGTGCCTCTTGCCCAACCCAGATCTTCTACCACAGGATGTCCTTTTCTATGATTGAGCCCGACGCTCGGGATTCCACGATAAGACTTGCAGGCTCGATATTCTTCAGATCACAACTGTAAGAATAATCTCTCTTTTGTGTATAACAAACAACGCTTTGGATGTGACTTAACTCTTTAATCATGAGTTTGTAAGACTCAGTAAATAACATCCAATTGGAAAACAAACTCAAAATAATCCCCAAGATATAAACTTTACAGCAACCAAAAAAAGATCTGAAGGACTTCAATCAATCACTTAGTTTTGGGGATGGAAAAGACAAGTATGTTATGAGAAAACCCAAAAGTAATCAACTCAAGATTGGGAGATAAATCAAACTTCTTGAGAAAGTCCGGATTCTGAAGTGTTCGCTCAGATGCGAAGCCTTTTCGGCTCGTGAGCCGAGCAGTTGTATTTTTCATGATGTTCTCTAGATAAGGCTCTTGGCTGACAGCCGACCGGATCCTTGGCTCGAGCGAAGCGCACCACGTAACACTTCTTCCCAGGTTTTTGTATGGACGCAATCCTTGGCTCGAGCGTGCATTCCTTGGCTCGAGCGAGCAAGCCCTAGCTCGAGCGAGAATTCCTTGGCTCGAACGAGCAACGACGGACATGCAATTTTGAATGCAATTTTGCATTTTGCTTCGGCCGCGAGCTGACCGGGCAGCTCGACCCCTGTAATAATCAGCGAAGTGGCAATCTTTGAAAGCATTAATATCACAAACTTCTCTGCATGGTTCGATTTGGGTTTGGATTCGCATCTAATAAACTCATAGCCTCACTGAAATAAAAAGTGCGAAAATAAATACATCTGAAAGGAGTTTTGTCAAACGGGGTTGCCAAGAATAAAAACCTAACAACAAATACTAAAAACATCTTAAATTATGACACATCATCAATTAGTACACTAGTTAGTACAATAGTTGGTGCATATAACATTATTCTTTAAACAATCTAACCCAAATTGCCCATTTAATAAATGTGCTTAAATGGATTGCGTTGAATTGTATATAGGTTGGACAAATGAACTCAACTAATCCATTTACTTCATCTTTTCTTTTCTTTTTTTAATTTTTAATTTTTTTAAAAAATTAGTTTTTATTTTTTTCTAAGAAAATATATTTTTTATTTTGTTATTTTTTTAAAAAAAATTTATTTACGGACTTAAATGAGTATTCATATCCAACCTATATAAATCCAATTTTAATTGGGTTGACAATGAACAACCCATTTAAACTCATTTATTGATTTGGGTAGATTAATATGAGTTTTAACAGATATAATTGGACGAATTTATGGGTTTGCTACCTTTACAAATAGGTAACATTTAAATAAATAGAAAAATATGTATCATCTGGAACAAATAAATGTCCTTTTAACTACAAAAGATTATTGATCCAAAATTTTAAAAATGTAAACCTATGACCTAAGTGCCCAATTTAAAATCTATACTATATCTATTTACAAATGTAGTGGAGTCTCACAGCCTTCCAATCCCAATTTCTAGTTTTCTGTAAATTTTAAAAATACAAAAAAAATTGTGACACTAGCTTTGAGCTAATTTTTCAATCCACTGGCACTTACCTTTCCTAAATTTTCTTTTAAAATAAAAACTCACGATTATGTATGTGATTTTGATTACACCAGCCTCTATCTCCACAAGTTCCACTAAAATTGAAACCCTTAAAAAATGTTCTATGTCTATTCATCTCCGTTGCAGAAAATAAAACTAATAGATAGATATAAAGAAAGGAAAAAAAAAAAAAAAACCCTCACATCTATGCATATTCCTCTGAAACCTCTCGTCTATCCCTTAATCCCTTTTCGTACATAATTACACTACTACAAATAGTTTCAGCAGTTCACTATTACAAATATTCATGCATGTACTTCATCAACTCTTTATCAGCGGCCACATGATTCGACTCAACGTGGTTGACGGTGGCTACTACCCACCATCCTTCCGAGTTCAGATCTTCGGCCGCTCTTTCCAGCCGCGCTCCCAGCAGCGCTACAAAACGACGTCGTTTTGTATATAATTTTTTCTTTTTTCCTTTCTTTTCTTCTTATTCACCTTTCCCCTTTCCATTGAACCCTAGACAGAGGAGAGGAGACGAAGGAGACACGAAGGAGAGGAGAAGAGCTGGTGAGGCCGTTTTGTATATATATATATATATTTTTTCCTTTCTTTTCTTCGTATTCACCTTTTCCCTTTCCATTTTTGAACCCTAGACAGAGGACACGAAGGAGAGGAGAAGAGCTGGACGATCTGGAAGAGTGAGGCGACGATACAGGACGACACGAAGGAGAGGAGAAGATCTGGACGATCTGGAAGAACGAGGTTCGTTTCTCTCCCTTTCCATTCTTTTCGATTTTTCCCTTTCGATAACAATTTAACAAAGCTTGAAGTTCTTGAAGACTCTGATGCTGGATTGAACACTGAATGCATATTATAACATGACCTACAAATTCAAGAAGCATAGCATGTGTCCCCTTTACCATCTCAAATTATCTACATAACTCACTCTGTGAGTGAAGAACATCAATGATGAAAATTAACGCGCTCTGTACCTATTTTATAAATCCCCAAGAAAATTATTTGCAAAAAGCTGAACCAATATTATAATCCTCCTTTCAAATGACTCGATTAGGACAACAAATTATTTCGCAGAATTATCATTGTACTAATACAACAGCTTAATGTCTCATCCAATTAATCTTTGAATTTCAAATCCCAGTCTGTGAATTAATGACAATAAATAATGAAAATTAACCGGCATTGTACCTATTTTAAGGAAAATGTTATCATTAGATCTAAATACAATGGCTCCCATGTATATTTATTACTTTGCGAAAGGTATGAAGAGCTGTGAGGAAAAAGTTGTACTGAATCCTGATGTTCTGAAAGCAACAAATGCAAAGAAGATTGTTAATTTGCCAAACACAGCATTGTGTCTTCCCAAAGAAAATTTGAAAGAGATGAGAGGAGTACATGTGTGAGAGTGAGAGGGTGTGTTCAAAAACAGAGCCATCATATTACATTTTCAAACATTTTGACAAAGAGACAAAAACAGAGGGTGTGTGTTCAAAATTATATATATAATACACACAAATAAATAAATAGGATTGGTTTGGTCACTACCTTCAGATAAACTAACCATATAAAAAACTATATCAGATGTGTGATAGTGAAATTTTGGGTAAAAATTTTTTTTTGGTATAAAGAAATAGGGCACTACCTTGAGAGGAAGGAAAAATGAAAAAAAAAATAATAATAATTCCAAATTCCACCATGGAATAGTGTTCAACAAACGGCTTATTTGGTATAACTTTTTATTAATTGAAAGTTTGATAATTTTTTTTTGGGTAAATAAAAAAAAATTTTGGGTGAATAAAGTTTGATAATTAAATAGTAAAAGAAGCAATACGACACATACTTTCAAAATAAAAAATAAAATAAAAACACCATATATTAATTGAACCAAACAACACCAAAAACTTATACATGAATCATGATATCTACTCATTTCTTTCTCAAGAGTAAAAATCTGTCGTAGCAATGAAGACATGCATGGAGAAATTCTCATTAATCTACCCAAAAAAAAAAAAAATCCAAAATTAACAGCCTGAAGTCATGGAGATTCCTAGAGAGAGAATTTTATATATACTGGTCCCGTGATTGAATTTTAATTTTCCCTTGTATGGTATGCATTAGAATATTTGAGGTACAGTGATTGAATATAAAGATTCTTAGGATGTGATTGTTTATGTTATTATTTATATATAGAGAATTTATGAGTGACCAAACCAATCCTATGTGTAAAACTCCTCAGATTTTGAACACACACCAATCCAAACCAAACCAAACCAAACCAATAAATATATAATTTTGGTTATATATATAAATACATAGGATTGGTATCAAACCCATTTCATAAATCAAAACCATGTAAAAAATAAAACATTTCAAACTAACCATATCAGATTAAGAGAAATAGGAAATTATATAACTCTTCTTGATAAAAGCATATATATATACAGGAAATGTTTATAACATAACTCATTCAAATGTTTCAAAACAGGAAACATGTTTTTTAGAGGAAACTGTTCTTGAGAAACATTTCAAAAAGAGTTTTGAAATGTTAACTCTTCTTGAGAGGGTGTGCTTTTATCAAGAAGAGTTTTGAAATGTTTCTCAAGAACAGTTTCCTCTAAAAAAATGTTTCCTGTTTTGAAACATTTGAATGAGTTATGTTATAAACATTTCCTGTATATATATATATATGCAATTAACCATATCAAGAAGAGTTATTTTAAATATATATATATATATATATACATATGTATATACACATATACATATATATACCATAAATTGTTCTGAAATATGTGTATGTGTATGTGTATGTGTATATATATACATATGTTAACATTTCAAAACTGTTCTTGAGAAACATTCTTGAGAAACATTTCAAATTGATTGGTTGTAAAATGTTTATAATACCAAGATTCCACTTCAAGTTGATTGGTTGTAAAATGTTTATAATATGTTTATAATACCAAGATTCCAACAAATTGGGAATCAAACAAATCAGACCCAACAAACAATCAGACCCAACAAATCAAACATTTCAAGTTGATTGGATTTAATTCCCTATACCAATAAAATAACAAACGAAAAAATACAGCTAACGTTTTCCACTTTTCCAATAATTTTATCCAAACCAAGCAAATTCTAGAAGAATTAAATCCAGAATACATTTTTTTCCCGGGAAAATCAAAGAGAAAACAAATTGGGGGTTTAAGCAAGGGAAAATAAATTGGCTTCTCAAGAAATATATATAGACATATACATATATATAGATATATTTTTATACATACTGAAATCATATATAATCACATCTATGTTAATGAAATCATATATAATCACATCCCTGTTAATGAAATCATATATAGATCATATATACATATATAAAATTATGTATATAATCACATTCGCATTCATTCAGGTGATCCACACACATTTAATTTATATACATGACTTGCATTTGAGGCAACCACACACATTTGAGGCACACAACATTGAAGTTTATAATTCATAAAAACCCCTAATGCATCACAGAACCAATACAAAGAGCTCCACTTTTGATTGAATCCAGAAACCAAAAATTATTCACAGAAAATGCTAATGAAACAAATATATGGAATTGAGATAAGACAAACAAATATATGTAACTGAATGAAATCGAAAGGGCTTGAGAAGACAAACCATTGTTCTGTTAGTGAGATCGAGTGAAGGACAGTCCAGCGAGATCGAAACCATTGTTCTGTTTGCACGGGTCATCCACACACATTTATCATATATAATCATATATAAAATTATGTATATAATACACACAAATGCATATACATACATACATTCGGTCTCCGAACCTGTGAATCTCCCATCTCTGAATCAAGAGGGAAGAGACTAATAGGGGGTTTGGGGTTCGGTCGCCGGCAAGGGTTGGGCTCCGACAGGGTAACACGTCTGATGGAGAGAGAGAGAAGGGGGGTCTGATTTCAAAATTTGAAATAAAAAACCAGCAACAAAGAGATGAGAGTGTGGGAGAGAGAGAGGATGTGGGTTCAAAATGGAGAGTTTAACACTGTGAGCCCTTGGATTAAGTTCAATCCAATAATTCATATTTTGACAAACAAACAGAAGTCCTATCAAGGAAAAAAAACTGAGCTTCCTTATTATATAGATATTCAAACTTTTTATCATTTTAAAGATACTGATAATGCTGTAAGATGCTGCCTGCCTTGGGGTGCCGTGGACACGAAGATAAAATAATAAAAAATGGGACGGTCGGTGCATGCAAATTGGAATTTGACTACTCCAGGCGGCAGGTAGAAGATGAAGGAGAAACCGACATCCAAACACGCGCTCACTTCCCATCCATCTCCTCTATAAAATAATCCTCCAAAGCAGACTCTCCTTACAGACAACTCGACGAACCCTCAATCTTGGTCTCGCTCACTGTATTACAGGTATCTTACTCTCCCTCTCCCTTTCCCTTTCCCTTTCCCTTTCATCCAATCTCTGATTCTAAATCCTCAAGCTCTCCCTTTCCCTTTCCCTTTCCCTTTCATCCAATCTCTGATTCTAAATCCCCAATCTCATATGGGTTTATGTTTATTAGTGTATTTGTATGCATTTGTTCACATATGCTTGTATGTTTACTATTATTTTATAAAATGCACAACTCAAAAATTTGAACATTTGTCACTCCATTTTGTTTTCCAAGAATTCCCATAAAAATTTTAAGTGCTAAAACTCCAATTAAACGATTTTTAAATTTAACCCACTTTCCTCATTCATCAAACCATCCAAAATTTTAGATCTATTGCGTTTTTACCCACCGTTGATTTACATATATGTATGCATTTTTATATGTGTCTTTGTTTGTTTTTTTTTTTTTTTTTTTTTTTTTTTTTTTTTGGGTTGTGTCTGTATTATATTTGTCCATGTATATGTTTCTGTGAAACCCAGGTCTCATATGTATGAATTATGTTTTTATCACTTTGAGAATAGAGATTTGGGTGTATTTTTGGTGTTTTTACTGCAAGCACATGAATAGAAAGGAAACTACTCCAATGCTTTGTTCTATAATATATTTGGAAGTTTTTACATTTGATCATCAATTTTTTGTCATTATTTTGTATGACCACCATGTTCATAGTTTGTTTCTTGTTTGGAAAAACAGTAATGAAAGAAAAAAATGAATGCAAATAATATCTTCCATTGTATCCACCCTTTATATAAAGGGGAAAAAATCGGTGATATACATAGCATGAATCATATAGAATACTCGAAAGATTTTACCCCTGTTCAGAAACTAACGGCCCCCAATATTCCTGCCTTTTAGATTTTGTGAACTAAGAAATCTAGGGCTAGAATTTGTTTAAATTCCTTGCAAACATGCAGTCATCATGATTTGATTAACCGTTATGCTTATTTAATTATGAGATTATTTTAATCTCATCGGTAATTAGACTTGTTAACTATATGCCATAGATGAAATACATTACATCATAATTTTATATTTTGGTAAGTGAGGATTTCTTAAAAAAGGATATAGATTAAAGCTAAAGAATTGTGAGATGGAAATTTATTTTATAGTTGTTTTTGTTGATGTTGTGGCTTCTTGTTGCTATTCCACAGTAAGTTAATTTTGACAAATTTGCACTTTTAACATCAGAAACTAACGGCCCCCAATATTCCTGCCTTTTAGATTTTGTGAACTAAGAAATCTAGGGCTAGAATTTGTTTAAATTCCTTGCAAACATGCAGTCATCATGATTTGATTAACCGTTATGCTTATTTAATTATGTTATAATGGTATAGAGTTAAAGTGAAAAAAAAAAGAGGCCAAAATCATGTGTGGCCATTTTATTGTTGAGTGAAATTATTCAAATAGCATATAGATAATTAAAATTTGAAGAGATCTCTTCTTGGCTAGCTTTGTCTCAATAATCCTTACTCTTTTTGCCAACAGCAACCGTTTTCCTAAAGAGGAGGTTAATTTTGACTGGCATTTTGAATAGCAGGCACAATGGTTGTTCAGAAGACTGGTGTCCTCGAGATTTATTACTGTCCCTGCAAGGGCTGCAACATAATTTTGGTTGAACTGGGAAAATTTCTTGAAGTGCAGCAAATAGACAGAGATGAAGAAAAACACAAGGCATCCATTTTAGTTACTGGAGATCCGTACAAAGTCACTAAGGCGCTTAGAAAGTGTGGCAAAAGGTTTGAGTACTTTGAGCCAGCCATGAACAACCAAGAAATGCAAATTGTATTACCACCAAACCCAGTTCCAGGAATTCTTGACCCACATATGGAAGCTCCGAATTCTGGTGTCCTTGAGATGAACTACTGTCCCTGCATAGGATGCGATGAAATTTTGGTGGAATTGGAAAAATTTCATGGAGTGCAACGAATAGATAGAGACGCTGAATCACACAAGGTGTCGTTTTTTATTACTGGAGATCCATATAGAGTCACTAAGGTGCTTAAAAACCATGACAAAAAGTTTGAGTACTTTGAGAAAAGCCCTCCCATGAACAACCAGGAAATGCGACTTGTGATACCACCAAAACCATTTCAAGTGGTAGCACAGCCACCAGGTAACGTCAAATTATCTATTTTGGTGATTGCACTTACAAACTTTATGAAAGAGGCTAACTTTGGAATGTTGTGTATGCATTAATTTTGTTGATTAGGTTATGGATTTACTGGGATCCCCCTTGAAGATCTTGAAATTGATGAAACGATTGTGAAGAAGACTAGAGTTTGCTGCCCAAAGTGCAACCATGAGCTTGAGCTGAAAGGGTATAACAAACGGTTTGCATGCGATGGATGCAAGGAGGACGGGTTTGGACCAAGATACAGATGTAAGGACTGTGACTATAGCCTACACGAGGAGTGCGCGTCTCCTAAACCTACCATTTCGCCTGACTTTCTCCAAGAATCTGCCTTTGAATTCTGTCATCAACCATGCTCAACATGTGCAAGGTACTGTTGGAATTTTGCACAAGCTTTAATACCAACTTAAAATATGATTTTGGAGATTTCGTTCTCTCGTCTTTTAGGGCTTTCTCTTTTACACATTTTTTGGGTTCGGAACTTTTCTCTTTTTTAATTTTATTTATTTCTTTTATGCTTTTTTCTTTTAGGTAGTTATTCTTTTATGCTTATACAACTAAACTTAATTGAAGACATGAACTCAGATAATTCTAGGTTCAATTCACATTGCTAATCATTCTAGGAACTTTATGAGATCTTGACTCGCCTATATTATACTTACCAATACATTATAGCATATCTTCCACATGATTCTAGGGTTCTTAGATATTTTGTAAATCTCAATTTACTTTTTTTTCTACAGGCCCTGCTATGCATGTGGGAAGGCTATACGTGGCTATTCCTATCGTTGCAAATCAAAAGAGCTAGATTTACACCCATATTGTAGCAACCTCAAACGCAATTTATATGGCATGGATTTTGTTCATCATGACAAGGAGATCTCATCATCATCGAAGTGCGTGTGCTGTGAGAAGAAAATGCGTTGGGGTACAAAAACAAAAAATTCGGGTAGTTGTTCTTATATTTCTACATGTAAGAAGTATCATTTTCATGTGTATTGCATAACTGAAATGCTGCACGAAGCTTGGAAGGAAGGTGTTATCAATGTCAGTACCGATGAGATGTCTATGCCACCAGAAAAAATGGATTTGCAGCTTAGAAAGCCTAATAACTCAAATAGAAGTGGTGGGAGATTTGGTGAGATTTTGAAGACGTTAAGCACATTCCTTGGGACAATAATTGGTATTCTTTTGGGGGATCCAACTGGTGCTTTCGTGCCTGTGCTTATTGAATTTTTCTTGAACACGCTCCCAAAGTTACTCTCAAAGTAGAACGAATATGGTTCTGGTTTGTATTGCTTGCTGGGTAAAGGTGTGTAGGGGTTGAATAGTTATAGTTGTTCCAATTTTTGATTTCATCTCTTGTATTGAATTTTAGAGTTGTTGTACAGTCTGTTTTTGTTTCCTTTCTTGGGAAAGGTCATGCTCCTAGGATAGTTTTTTACTTGGGAGAAGATTCTTGTATCCCCTTCTTTTGAAGCATTGTTTTATTAATTTTTTGAGTGTAAAAAAAGAAGAAGCTTGTGCTTGCTATTGTTTCCTTACATAAGCATTGTGAGTTCTTTTTTTAATCCCGCAGTAATTGTGAACTCGAGTCTATTTTCCTTTTTGTGCTTTAAGCTGTATGGTGACATTATTTTATCCATTATAGAAGTGTTTGAGAAGATAATCGGATTAAAATAGTTTATTAAAAAATAAAATAGGTTAAATATTTAATAAGACAAAATGTTACATTAAATTTATGATCATTTTATTTTATTTTTCTCAAAACTATTAAATCAATACAAAAAAAGTCAACTAACTTCTCAAAATAATTTTTTTAATAAGGTTAAAATAGTCGCACACAAAAAAAAAAAAACTAAATAGTTGACTTTCTAATTCTTATATCATATTCATTTTCTCAATCTCATTTGAAGATTAGTGTTTTAAATCTATCCACACCAATAGGGTGTAAATCTGGTCCACCTGGTCCGACCCGGTCCATGTCGGGCCTAGCGAGCTCCCGTCAAAATTTAGGTCAGGCCGAGCTAACCCACGGGCTAAAAAATTAGGCCTAGCCCCAAGCCCAGCCCTAGGCCCAGTGGGTATTCGGGCCTCGGGCTTGGGCGGGAGTTGGACGGGCTGACCATTTTTTTTTTAAAATTTTTTTTATCAAAATTTTATTATTTTTCGCTAAAAAAGGCACTAGGCCCTGGCACGGCCTTGAGTGAGCCTTAAGCGGGCTGATGGGTCGGGTTTCAAAATGATGGCCTAGGCCCAGATCCAAGGGTTCGGTCTATGCTTGGGCTTGGGCCCAAACGAGCCGGGCCCATCCCGAGCCGCGGGCGGGCTTTAGGCGGCGTCAAACCATTTTTACACTCCTACACACCAACGTGTGATGTATTTGTTGGGATAACGATCAGATTGTTTGGTTTCGATTTTCAGGATTCACTTTCAGAAAAATGAAATTTTTTGCTTTCTATATATATATATTTTTTCACTGATTTTTTTAATATACTAAGCGATTTTTTTAATTTTTAAATACACCTAATATAAATATAGGAAAATTTAACCATAAGTCCTAGTTTTTGAAACGTTGAACCATTTAGTCCTAAAAGTTTTCTTATGCTCCATTTAGTCCCATTTTTACATCAACATGATGTGAATGATGTAAATGATCTGATGTTTCATTCTATAAATTCAAAATTTATTGAAATCTGATGAACATTAGATGTTTTTCATCCTATATTTTCAAACATTATTGAAATTTGATGAACATTAGATGTTTGAAATCCAATGTTTGTAACATGACTCTGACGTTATTAACATTGTATCTGACGTTATTAACATTGTAATGGGACCTTTCAGTCTATAAGAAAAATTTTAGGACTAAACAGTGCATAAGTTATTAATTTGGGATTTATTGGTGCATCCCCCATAAATATACTTAAAAAATATAATACTTGTAAAAAAATCTCTAGAAAATTCACTAAATATAAAAAATATAAAAAATACAAGAATTCAGTACAATTTTCGTTATTTTGTATATTTATTGATTTTTTAAAATATTTACTTTTTACGTACATCTAAATAAGGTTCATTTAAAAAAGTAAAAACACTACTTAAAATTTTAAAAATATTCACTAAAAATAAAAAATTAAAAAATTCAATTTTTAAAAAATTAAAACCAAACATACTAAATCTCTCAGTTTGAGATTTTCTTTGTATGATTTATATGTTATATTTAATCATTGTTATTATAAATTATAATTCATTAATTTCATTATCATATACAATATCAATGTTTGACACCAGGTCAAGCTCAATAATGAGATAGTTTGAACCCGGAAGTAAAATGCACAATGTCCATATTAGACCAACCCATCTAGGTCTTGTTTGGGATAAATTACAAAAAAGTTAAAAAATTATTTAAAAAATTAAAAAATTTTATACTATTTAAGGATAGCTTGTAAGAGAAGCCATTAGGACAAAATTATTATTTTGTTCTTTGAATTTAACTATCTAAAAAGTTAAAAGTCAAAAGGGCAAAAGGGTAAAATTGTCGTTTTGATTTTACTACAATATTTTATTATACATCTTTTCGTAAAAAATTAAAAAAGTTATCTCAAACATACATTTTTTTTATCTACTTTTTTAATAAAAAAGTAAAAAAGTACACTTATGTAACATATCCCAAACAACTAGTAAATTTTATACCAACTATATATTGCAAGCTATTGAAGTTTTGTGAGATCAACATTGTTTCAACATTCCATATCTTTCTACATTATTATAAAATGAGGAAATGGTTAAGGATTTATTAGTCTCTATAGCGGTTTCTATCCGCATCCTTCTTTTGAATATGTTAAATATAAATTGTATTTCAAATAATAATAATAATAATAATAAAGAAATTGTTTGTAATCTAATGCTATGTACACATAAAAGTGCATAGAAATACTAATATGCCGTTGTGATTTCCGCATCTAAAATAAATTCGAGCCCATTGGTCTTTTGATACACATTTTTGTGATTTTGTATTTTGTATCTTGTAATTTTTTTTTGGGGGGTGCATTACTAATTTTTTGGTGCATTAAAAAATTGGTTATGGGTTTGTTGATGGCTAAGATTGGTCATGGGTCCAATCCATATAGTTTGTTTAATTAAATTGGCCCAAATGACCCATTTTGGCAATCTATTCCGGTAACGTCCAAGCTTTCCACTGTCTTGCCCACGCAACAGGTAGAATAGAAAGCCCAAATAATGAGTAAAAAATATCGTTCCCGGAAGGGAAAAAAAAAAAAGGTAGTAACCATGTTTGGTTGTGTTTTCAGAAAATTCTATTTTCTTATTTTTTATATTTTTTTGTTTTTATTGAATTTTTTTAATATTTTAAACAATTTTTTTTTTACTTTTTAGACATACTTAACATAAATATACCTAAAAAGTAAAAAAAATTATGAAAAAAACCTTTTAAAAATTCATTAAATACCAAAAATACAAAAAATAAAAATAAAAGAATTCGGTACAGTTTTTGTATTTTTATGTATTTATTAAATTTTAAAAATATTTTTTCACAATTTTTTTACTTTTTAGATACATCTAAGTAAGGTGCATTTAAAAAAGTAAAAAAATATTTAAAAATTTAAAAATATTCACTAAAAACAAAAAAACACGAAAATCAAAAAACTGAGTTTTCAAAAAACTTAATTCAAAAAACTCAAACCAAACACACTGAGGTCCTAATAGTTTGACTTAATTCTCATGAAATCCTATTAAAAATAAATCCTAGTAAAATCGTAAATAAAAATAATTTTTGTGCAAATTCTCATAAAATTTGTACAAAAAACTTTAAAAAAGGCCATTGCATACAACAAAATAAAATAATGTATTGAATTTTTGTATTTTTTTTTGTTTGGTGAATTTTAAAAAAAAAATTACAAAATATTATATTTTTTAAGTTTATCTAGATTAAGTGTATCTAAAAAATAAAAAAAATACTTAAAATATTAAAAAAAATTAGTAAAAATAAAAAATAAATGCAAAAATAAAATAATAATAAAAAACTCAATTTTTTTGTGTGAGTTAAACCAAAGAGGATGATTGTTATTTTTCTTGAAATGATATGAACAAAATATCTGTATTATTTTATTATTTTACATTTATAAAGGCTAAGGAACAAATATGTCATTTTAATTTGATAAGGGCGTAAGTGTAATTTTTTAAAAGTGACGGGAAAATCTGTATTAAATAAAAATCTTAGGGGGTATCAGTGTAATTTATCCTTAATAATATTATAATTTTTAAATATATCAATCAAGTGTATTTAAAAAGTGAAAACTTAGGTTAAATGGACCAAAACAAATGTAAATAATGCAAAAAGAAACAACATAAAGTATATATTTTCATGTAAAACATATGACAATATATTTTATATCCATACAACTAACAAATTGTTAATAAAAAATGAGTTAAGTATTATATGAATTATAAAGTTTCAAGAAAACTTAATGTAATTTTGTCAAAACTATTGAGCTTATTATATATTTTTAAATTTTTTTTGAGGGATGTCAATGTAATTTATTCTTTTTCAATAGTTTCAATTTAAATTCTTAACTTTAGGTGAAGATTAATTGCAGAAAAATTATATTTATCATGGCATTTATTTCCTATTTATGTTTATACAATAATGTGGGACTCACTACACATAAAAAAGAGTTAAACTTATGGTTTTGGTCTATTAAAAAAAAAATGTTCAATTTTTTTAAACAATAATTTTAATATAAAAAATAAATTAAATCACACAAGTTTGACCAACTATACAAACTGAATAATCAACCTATCAAAAAAGATCAATAATGGAAATAAAAAAAATACAAAAAAATTATTATTTTTATTTTTGACACTAATTCACCCGAATAAGGGGAGCACAGTGGTGCCTCCATTTGAGGTGTATTATGGTCTTATTTTTATGATCAAAACCATCCATTTTGTAGGATTTATTGAGTACTTCATGCCTACTAAAAATCATATTAATCGGATATCAAAAACTATACGATCGATAACCAAAAAAATAAATAATAAGTTTTATTTTGAGAAATAACATAAATAATATGCAATTCGATCATATAGTTGTTGATATCCGATTAATATGATTTTTGGTAGGCATGAAGTACTCAACAAACCCTACAAAATGGACGGTTTGAATCATAAAAATAAGGCCATAATACACCTCAAATGGAGGCACCACAGTCACTATTGTGCTTTACGCACAGCAGTGACCCCTTATCCAATTCACCCTTTTTCATATAAAAATATACATAAGTGACTAATTGAGTTAACATAGTTAATTATATCAACACATTTAATGTGTGCAAATCAAATTATTAATCACTAATTGCAATGTAACAGCAAAATTGTTTAAAAATTTGCAAAAAATTTAAATCAACAAAAAAATTGTTTGAAATATTTTTTCTTCATATTATTGTTTTTTAAATATTTTTTAAAATTAAAAATTTTTAGTTGTATCATTCTTAAACAAACTGAAAAAAATAAAAATATTTAG